TCAGGGACTCGGGAGCCGGAGCCCTGGTGGGGGTCTGTGGGCCTTCAGGGGCGTCCCCTGGGCTTGGCAGTGGGGATGGCACAGGAAGGCCTGGTGACCGCGCTTGCGTGGAAATTCCCGTCAGGAAAATCCTCAGCAGCCGGTGGAGTGACACCCCCACAACAGGGTGTATTTTGTGTGTTTTGTTTTGCGTTATCTCAGAGGGAGCTTCAAAAACATTTGTAGGGAAAATGGAATGAAAAGAGGGTACTCTTTCCACCGACTTCTTGAAGCCCCCTTGTAAATATGTTTATTCGCACAAATAGTATTTCATATCACTGCCACAAGTGGGAACGCAGTATCGTTTTATTAAGTAGGAAATGGTTGGAAAAAAATAAACACAAGAGTGATAGGCTGGAGACATGATTGCCTGCTGAATTCAGTCTGTAGCATATTTTCTCCATAATAAAGAACAGTGTTAGCAGTGGAGGTGTTGAAAGCCTTTTCAAATTCCTAGCAGTTGGCCTCCTACTGTTTGGGAAAGAAGTTTTATTGTTTCATAAGCCCCAGTTGAGATGCCACCTCCCTAAGGCCCCTCCATTCCTTCCTCTCAAGGTATCCTTTCTGGGTACCTTTTAGCACCGTGTGTTCTCTTGTAATTGGTTTTCTCACTGTGTGGTCAATTGCTGCTACTGTGGGTTTAGTTTTCAGAGGCTACAGACTGCCATTGATTATGTTCTCAACATTTGACCGAAGACTTACATGAAGTAGACTTAAGTCATATCTGATGAGACTGGGGAGAGTTGAGAGGAAGACATGTGTTAGTGTGTTACCTGAGTTACACAGTTTCAATTGGCTTATCCGAGAAGAGGATTTGGGATCACTTGGCAAGACTGGAACTAGGGACTGTTGTTAATGGCCTTTGTTTCTTTTTAAAAGGGCACTATTGCTGAGTGAGGATGAAGAAGATACCAAGAGGGTTGTCCGAAGTGCTAAGGACAAGAGGTAAGGCTGGAGTTTTTGCTTGATTGATTGATTGGGGTTTTTTTAGGCTGGAGTGTTTTAAATTGTAGCAAGACCATGGAGGAGGTAGATTTTAGGAAAGCTTAGAGCAGTATGATAGAGTTACTTTATGGCAGTGGCACAGGCATGTCTAATGTGCATGGGTTTTTAATTCAGATTTGAGGAGCTGACCAATCTTATCCGGACCATCCGGAATGCCATGAAGATTCGGGATGTCACCAAGTGCTTGGAAGAATTTGAGCTCCTGGGAAAAGCATATGGAAAGGCCAAGAGCATTGTGGACAAAGAAGGGGTTCCCCGGTTCTATATTCGGATCTTGGCTGACCTGGAGGACTACCTTAATGAGGTATAACGGCAGTGGGTAAGAAGAGGTTAGGCTAGGAGAGATGAAACCAGGGCCCATTCCTAACCCACTATTCAAGATGGTGTTTCTTTGGGATTGTTTGCCTGATCTTCAATGTTTCTAGAGCACAAGAAATCAGGTGTTTGTGTGTGTGTGTGTGTGTGTAACAAGTAGAACCTTTTTTTTTTTTAATACTTTATTGGGGGCTCTTACATCTCTTATCACAATCCATACATTCATCCAGTGTGCCATGCACATTTGCACATATGCTGCCATCATTTTCAAAGCATTCTCTTCCCATTTGGAGAGAAACTTTTTTTAAGGCCAAGAATCTTGCATTTGTTTTTACTATTACCTCTTAATTGCATTCTCCACTTTTAGCAGTGAGACTTGAAGTGTCTTTTTAAAAAATTAAGTCAACAGTTGTTAATACATTGCACAAATGGTCTACAACATAGCAAGACTCATTGAGTGATGGCGGAAGTGTGGAGTTTAGTTAATACCACTTAGGTTCTTATTGTCTTCTTTCCTCCACTCCTTCAGCTCTGGGAGGATAAGGAAGGGAAGAAGAAGATGAACAAGAACAATGCGAAGGCCTTGAGCACCCTGCGCCAGAAGATCCGCAAATACAACCGAGATTTTGAATCCCATATCACAAATTACAAGCAGGTGTAGTGGCTACAGTGGGTTATTTTGGGACAGTGACTCCATGACTAAGACTGAACAAAGCATTGGCAAATGGGAGGTGTGATTGGAGAAGGAAAGTAATAAAAGTGGAGTGGGGTGGTGGCTGGCAGGCAGGCATCTCTAATTCTTCTCCCCTTGTCCAGAACCCTGAGCAGTCTGCAGATGAAGATGCTGAGAAGAATGAAGATTCAGAAGGTGAAGAGCAAACCCTTCGTGCGAATCATTTCTCTCTCTCTCTCTGCCACAGAGTCAGTTCCACCTCGGGTGGCTCTAAAGGACAGTAGAACTGCCCTTGTGGGTTTCCAAGCCTGCCTAACGGGAGTCATCTTCCTCCCTCAGAGTGGGTGGTGGTTTTGAACCACTGACTCTGGTTAGCAACCCAACTCATAACTCACTGATGCAAACAGTAACTCTAAAGGTTGGGGTTTCACTTGGCCCTGTGTTTTGTTGCTCCTCAGTCAGCATGCTCTTTTCCCAGCCTAGCTTTTACCGCCCTCTCCCTCCAGGCTCTTCAGATGACGAGGACGAGGATGAGGATGGGATGAGTGCTGCTGCCTTCCTGAAGAAGAAGTCAGAAGCTCCTGCTGGCGACAGTCGCAAGTTCCTTAAAAAAATGGAGGTAAGAGCCAGGGCTAGACCCAAAGTCAGATAACCCGGAGTTGTTTGCCGGCCGAAGACCATCTAGTGAGAAGGATGGGCTTTCCTGGTCTACTTTGAGAACGGGATTTCTGTTGTATTAGAACTCTAAGCAACCTAAAATGTAGAAAACTGTGTTTCGAACCTAACTGTTCTGTGGGAGCTATGTGTCCTTGGGGCAAGTTGTCCCTTTTCTCCAGGTCGGGATGGTCCATTTCAGCCCTTGCATACCTTGCTTTTATTGGGTCATGTGTTAGCAGAGAGGCTAATCAGTCTGCCGGCCTACCTACTGATTCTTTCCTTCTGAGGATGAAGAGGAGGACTCAGAAGACTCCGAAGACGATGAAGATTGGGACACTGGCTCCACATCGTCTGATTCAGACTCGGAGGAGGAAGAAGGGAAGCAGACTGCACCGGCCTCAAGATTCCTCAAAAAGTAGGAAAACGGTAGAAAGTCACTGCCATGAGTCAGTTTCCGACAAATAGTGAGCCCTGGTGGCATAGTAGGTTACATAGTGGGCTGCTAAACATAAGGTCAGCAGTTCAAAACCACCCGCTGTTCTATAGGAGAAAGATGTGGTTCCGGCCTGCCCTATAGGGTTGCTGAGAGTGTGAGTGGAAAGGGTAGGAGACCTTTCATCGTCTCAAGGGTTGTTACTGCTTCTTGGGAGTTCTGTCAGGTTGTGGAGGCCAACAGCTCCCATTTCACAGGATCTCCAGAGAGTTGGGTTTTGTTGTTGTTGTTTTAGCAAAGGTCGCAAAGCAAATGTGCCCTTGAGATGGGATTTGAGGACCCCACAGTTTAAATTTTGAGCATGACTGTAATCACTGGGTGTGGACGATGCAGATCTCACTTTAAGAGCAATTATCTGTGTGGTACAAACAAGGTACTTAACCTTCTCTTCAGATTTCTCACTGTAAAATGGGATCCTCGGTGATCCTACCGCAAGGAGCAGTTTTGTTGTTAACCAAAGAGGAAAAACCAACTCATTGCCATCACGCCCATTCTGATTCATAGGAACCCTGTAGGATAGTGTAAAACTGTCCCTGTCAGTTTCTGAGACTGAGAAACTTGACCAGAGTAGAAAACTTCTTCTTCTCCACAGAGCAGCTGATGGTTTCAAACTGCTGACCTTGAGGCACACAGACTTTGTAGCACCTGTTTCTTACTGTTGCCACCGTCCTGAGAACTTCTTAGTCTATAGTATATGGATTTACAGCAGTTTCCTGAACTTTGCTGGGATACCATCAAGAGGTTCAGGGGAAAAACAATTTTTAAATGAAAAGATAACTCACTAGATAAGTGAAAAAAACAGACAACCCAATTTTAAAATGTACAAAGCATCTCAATAGACATTTCATCAAAGCTGTAAAAAAATGGACAGTAAGTACATGAAAAGATGCCCAATGTTATGAGCTGACCAAACCCGCTGCTGTGGGTTGTCTGACTCAGAGCGTCTATGCGGGACAGAGTAGAACTGCCTCATGCGCTTTTGATGGATGCGGGTCTTGACAGAGACTCCACGTGTTTCTCCCACAGTGGGCCTAAGTGACCCCGGTCAGTCAGCAACAGTGCTTAACTACGATGCCACTAAGGGCTCCTTCATTAGCCACCAGACCCAGTGTTGTCTCATTAATTCCAACCCAGCAACGGGGTAGCTGCTCCTTAGGGATCTTCAGAGGAACAGATAGCCTCGTCTTTCTCCTCCAGGGTGCCTTGTGGGTGTGAATCCCCAACCTTGTGGTTAGCAGCCAGCGTTCCTACCATAGAACCCCAGGGAAATACCAATCAAAGCCACAGTGAGAAACACTAGAATGGTTAGAATAAAAAAGACAGATGTGTGGCGTAATTAAAGGTAAAATTATGTAACCGTTTTTAAAAACAGCCTAGCGTGTGCCCCAGAAGTTAAGCATAATTATTCTATGGTTCAAGAGTTTCACTCTTGTGTACATACCCAAGATAAATGAAAATATGTATCTCCATAAAAATTTACATTACTCATAATAGACCCCTAAATGGAAACAACCCAAGTGCCCATCCGTATATTTAAGGATGTAGTAAGTACGTACAATGGATTATTATTTAACAGTGGAAAGAAAGTAATAAAATAATCATCTACCTAAAAGGTTGGTAAGTAGTTTAAACCTGCCAGTTGCTCTGTAGGATAAAAGTGTGACAATCTGTAAAGATTTGTAGCCCAGGAAACCCTATGGGACAGTCTAATCCATAGTGATACGTAGTGATGCAATATGAATGCTACTAAGTATGAGGTTTCTTTCTGAGGTGAAAATGTTCAAAATTGAAGATGATGGTTGCAAAGCATGATAGTCCTTTCTGATAATGTGTCCAGAGTACATGAGAAGTCTTGCCATCCCTCCTTCTAAGGAGCTTGGCGACTGTAATTCTTCCAAGACAGATGGATTTCACCTGTGGGTAGTCACAGTTTTTTTTAGTATTACTCATCAGAGCTGTCAATTCTCCAGTCTTTCTTATTCGTTGTTTAGCTCTCACAGCATATAAGGCCATCAAAGATACCATGGCTCGGACCAGATACACTTGAGTGTTCAGAATCACATCTTTCCTTTTTGTGAAAAGAAGAATTGCACAGCAGAACTGCCTGGTGTAATAAGTACATCCTTGATTTCGTGGTGGCTGCTTCCCTGGACATTGACTGTGGCTCCCACTGAAACGAAGTCCTTGACAACTTCCATCTCTTCTTTACCTTGATGTTACTTATGGGCCCAGTTGTGGGGATTTTTGTTTTCTTTATGTTGAGGTGTAATGCCAAGCGAGTCAATTGTTTCCTCTTTTGTGGGGATATTTTGCCGTATTGTACATTTTATTTTTATTTTAAATCAGTTGATAGGGAAGAGCAGAGAAAATGGCTAAAAGCACTGTCTGGGTCGGTAATTTTTTTTGAATGTGTGCTTCTCCCCTTTTTTGGTAGGGCTGGTAAATTGGTTCGTGTCAAGAAAAGTTCTTGAACCAAACTGGTATCACAATATTGGTTGTTTGTGGATTCTCTAGGTTATTAGATTGGATTGATTGTGTTAACCCCTTCATAAGGATATCTTAGCAGGTAGAGTGTCCGCCTAGCACCTTGCAGTCCTTGATGGTCTGGCTGTGGTGAATTCTCATCTGTAGGGAACTCGGACCCAGCACTTGGTGGGGGAAAGAAAGAGGACACTCACGGGGAAAGAAGCCTCAGAGAGGAGTGGCCTGTCTTAAACTGTCTCTGTTTCCATCAGGGCCCCCACCACAGAGGAGGACAAGAAGGCGGCTGAGAAGAAGCGGGAGGACAAAGCCAAGAAGAAGCATGATAGGAAATCGAAGCGCTTGGATGAGGAGGAGGAGGACGACAATGAAGGCGGGGAGTGGGAACGGGTCCGGGGAGGAGCGCCCCTGGTTAAGGTGAGGCTGTGCAGTTGGCGTGAACTGTGAGCTTACAATAGCTCTCCTAGTCGGGTTGGGGGAAACGCTTAAAGCTATAAGCGGGTAGGGTTGGCCTGTGTATGATGGCATGCGTTTTGCCTAGGAGAAGCCAAAAATGTTTGCCAAGGGAACTGAGATCACCCATGCTGTTGTTATCAAGAAACTGAATGAGATCCTGCAGGCACGAGGCAAGAAGGGAACTGATCGGTAAGACTTAGCGCTCTGGGTTGTAGAATTACTAGGTAAAGATGGGTGGGATATTGTCCTGTGATGGGAAGTCTTGCTGTGTGTGTAACCACCGTGGAACAACAGTGTGCTTAGCTTATACCAGCCCAGTGTCTGCCATTTACTCTCGTTGTGACCTTAGGCTAGTACGGTACTTGACCTTTGGGTTGATCTGCTTCCAAAGCCTTACCCAGTGCTGTATCCCCTACAGCGCAGCACAGATTGAGCTGCTGCAGCTGCTTGTTCAGATTGCTTCAGAAAACAACCTGGGGGAGGGTGTCGCTGTGAAGATCAAATTCAATATCATCGCTTCTCTCTATGACTACAACCCCAACCTGGCCACCTACATGAAGGTGAGGGCGGTGAAGGACACCTGAGGGCTGTTGTACTGTGCAGTGGGTCAGGGGAAAGGTCCTAATGTCTTCAAACTGTGGGGATAGTCTTAGGCATTTCGGGCTGTGGATTCCCAGGAAAGAGACTCTTGTGAGGCCTCTGCTAATCTCTTTCTCACACCGCTGACTGTTGTCTGAATCCATGGCAGCCGGAAATGTGGCAGAAGTGCCTGGACTGCATTAATGAGCTGATGGACATCCTGTTTGCAAACCCCAACATCTTTGTTGGAGAGAACATTCTGGAAGAGAGTGAGAACCTGAGCAATGCTGACCAGGTAAAGGGAGGGATTCGCTGGCTCCTTAGAGGTACAGACCGGGGGATGGGGAAATGGGATATTGACTCGGTAGAGAGGGAGATTTGGACGGATTCGGAACTAAGTTGCTTCTTCCTGCTTACTCTGCTTTCCTCAGCCATTGCGAGTCCGTGGCTGTATTCTGACTCTTGTGGAGCGAATGGATGAGGAATTTACCAAGATACTGCAAAATACTGATCCTCATTCTCAAGGTGAGCCCGAGGAAAAGTCTGGGTGGTTGTGGGGATTATTCTAAGGGGGTGTGATGGAAACCCAGCTCATAGCCCAGCATTCAGAGGCAGGTTGCTGGGCCCCACCCCCAAATCTCACTCAGTAGGTCAGAGTACGGTCAGAGGTTCTACTTGCTCCCTACTTCCCACGATGCGATATTGTTGCTCGGGGACCACACTTTGAAAACCACGGGAGCAAAGCACCTATTTATTCATCCTGCCCCTTCAGCGTAGCGTCATTGGAATGGGAGATGTGAGTGCCTGTCGTGCCCACTGCGCCCATGCGACAGTGATGAACCAGCAGCCAGAGGTGTCCGTGTCAGTGCTGAAGAAGGGCAGGGCAGCTCAATAAAAATCTGCGCAAGATCGTCTTAGATAACGTGCGGTGCTGGTTACACGTTAACATCAGAGCGCGATGCTGGAGAAAGACTAGACTCTTGGTTGCTTGGGAGGGAAGCCATTTACAGTGAGATTGGAATGAAGGGGAGAGGTTACCATAGGAAGAATCCTCAGAAGCCGGTACCTGGTGGGATCTAAAAGCGAGGTTAGCACGCCCCCGAAGTGATGGGCCGGCATAGATTGAGTGCAGTGAGGGAAGAGCTCATTGCTTGTGGAATGGGGTTCGTATAAGTGGGGGAGGGCAGGGTGTTTTCCAGGTGAGCAGACTTTGAGAGAGGCGGGGAGGACACACATGAGAGAGCTGGCTTTCTGTGGGACACGTGGTTGGGCAGGAAACCTGACTGCCGAGTCGGGTGCTCTCCCTGCCAGAGTACGTGGAGCATCTGAAGGATGAGGCAAAGGTGTGTGCCATCATCGAGCGAGTGCAGTGCTACCTGGAGGAGAAGGGCACCACCGAGGAGATCTGCCGTGTCTACCTGCGGCGCATCCTCCACACCTACTACAAGTTTGATTACAAGGCCCACCAGCGGCAGCTTACCCCCCCAGAGGGGTCCTCGAAGGTGAGTCCTCAGCCCTGGTGTCGGGGGGAGGTGGGGGGTGAGAGCAGGCTGTCCTTGCTGCTGTCAAATGGAGCATGAAGGGATTAAAATGAAGTCACATGGAGGCTCAGCCTTGGTTGCTGGGGCAGTGGTTCTCAACTCTCCTAATGCGCGACCCTTTCATACAGTTCCTCGTGTGGTGACGCCCAACCATCAAATTATTTTTGTCGCAACTTCATCACTGTAATTTTGCTACTGTTATGGATCGTCATGTAAATATCTGATAGGCAGGATGTATTTTTATTGTTCCATTGTGAAATATTTATTTCTAATGACAAATAAATGAAATTTTTGTCTTGAAGCGTGGTGTAGGCTGGGTAACAGTCTTCACACCGGGTACTTGTAGGTGGGTGTGTCTGCGTGTTGTGGACCACCTGGAGACGGATGGAGGAGCGGTGTCCCGGTTCTTAAAACCATGGGAAATAGGGGTTTTCCGCTGGTCTTAGGTGACCCCTGTGAAAGGGTCGTTTGACCCACAGGTTGAGAACCGCTTATCTAGAGCCATTGTCTCTGCCGCATTTCTTCCCTGACCACCTCGGCTCTTCCCCCAGTCTGAGCAGGACCAGGCAGAAAACGAAGGGGAGGACTCAGCTGTGCTGATGGAGAGACTGTGCAAATACATCTATGCCAAAGACCGCACAGACCGGATCCGCACCTGCGCCATCCTCTGCCACATCTACCACCACGCTCTGCACTCCCGCTGGTACCAGGCCCGTGACCTCATGCTCATGAGCCATCTTCAGGACAACATCCAGCATGCGGACCCTCCGGTGCAGGTAGGGTGGGAAGGGTAGGCTCTGGGGATAGGGAAGAGAAACAGGCCCGGCCCTTGTCCTGTTCAACCAGCATCATCACCTGTCTGGCTAGTGCAGACTTCTAGAGAGTCTTGGTCTTTCCCAGTGGCCAGCATTCCTTGACTCTTTGGCAAGTATTTTGTACTGACTCATTAACAGTAATAGATTCCTCTGGGTTTAGATTCCACCATTTGTTATATTCACTGTATATCTGGTTCCGAACATTACAAGCTCATTTTACTATCAAAATACAATAAAGACCTATTCCTGTCTTTAAAAACTGTTACAATGGAGGCATCCAGGGCAATGTGAGTTGTCGGAGCAGAGAGCTAAAGTGGTGAAGGCGCATCAGCTAGGCGTGACGGGAGCATTGGATGAGGATGTAGATCACCTGGTGGGCTGGAGCTCATGACTGTCACTTGCTGGATGCATCAGCATGGACTCAATGACAGTGAGTTGCTACTTCAGTCTCTCTACCTCTGAGAATATACCTCTCAAAGAGTTGTTGAGCTGTCACAATGGCAGCCAGGACCAGGCAGTGTTTCCTTCTGTTAGAAGATCACTAACTAGAGAAGCCAGCTAACAGCAGAGCGCTTAGACCTGTGGTCCTGCCTAAAGTTACTGGGCACCAGCCCTTTTCTTCATGTATTTACCCTGTTGTGTTCCTTATGTTGCTGTATTTCATTCCTTAGTCATACCCCAGGAGGGCCTGGTGGTCAGTTAACCCCAAACATCGGTGCTTCCCCTGAATGCCATGCTTACACATCTGGCTGCCTCCTTGACACCTGCTTGAATCCTGGGATTGTCTCAAAACAGCTAGTCCAAATTGCGGGTCCTTTCCCCCCAACATCTTTGACATTTCAAGAATATAGAAGTATAGGAAGAAATCTATAGCAAACAGTCAACTACCTACCACCAAAACTTTGCTGTTCACCTTTATTGTACTTTTAGGAGCCCTGGTGGCATAGTGGTTCGGAGGTGGACTGCGATCCACAAGGCCAGCAGTTCAAAACCACCAGGGTCCCCAGGAGAAAGATGGGACTACTCCGTAAAGAGTTCCAGTCTTGGAAACCCACAGGGGCAGTTCCACCTCGTCCTGCAGGGTCACGATGAGTTGGCGTCAACTCGATGGCAGTGAGTTGGTTTGAGTTTGGTACTTTTGGAGCCTCTGGGTGGTACAAAGCACTGAACCGCTACTCAAAAGGTTGGCTGTTTGGACCCACCCATCGGTGCCTCAGAAGAGAAAGGTCTGGTGCTGTGCTCCTGAGACGTCACAGTCATAGTTGTGAAACCCTGTCGACACGGTGCAACACGTGAAGTCACCATTGGTCAGTCAACTCACCAGTGTCTGCCCTACACTCAGCACATAGCTAGCTATCCGTCTGACGCTCTGTGTGTGGCTGCGTCTCAGAGTCAACTGCACATACCAGTACACCTCCTAGTACTTGACCATGAGTGTGTGTCTGCTACCCTGTTGTACTCTGCTCACTGCCACCGAGTCAATGCCGACTCACAGCCCCCCTGTAGGGCAGGGTAGCACCGTCCCTGGGGCTTTCCGAGACAGTAACTTTTCACAGGAGTAGAAAGCCTCCTTGCCCAAGTGGTTAGCTAGAGCCCATTGGTTGTTTTCCTTTGAGATGGGCATTGCAGAGAGATGTACAGATCTTATTGAATTAGGGACCTTGTGACATAGCTGTCACCCACATCTCCGTCCAGATGGAGGACATTGTCCCTGCCCCAGAACGTTCTCTCGGCACCTCGCAGCAGCCCCTGCTCTACTGTGTTTTTACCCTAGATTAGTTCTGCCCGTTCTGGAGTGGCTCTCCTCCTGTGTTCCGCATCCTTTCACTCATATTGCTCTAGGGGTTCATTGGGGGGGTGTGTGTGTGTGTGTGTGTATCATAAGTTTGTTTCATTTTATTCTTTTGCTTCTGTTGAATGTATCACAGATTTCGTACTCATTCTCTTGTCGGACACCCGATCTTGTCCCAGTCGCAAGGGTAGAACTGCTGCATCATGTGCTGACTTACTGTTGAAGTAACCTGTGCACCGGCCAGACCGTTTTCCCAAAGCAGTTGCAGGATTTTACCCACGTATACTCATGTATAAGCTGGGTTTTTCAGCATATTCTTAATGCAATTTTTGTGGTAAAATTGGGTGCTTTGGCTGATATTCAGGTTGGCTTATACTTGAGTATGTGTGGTGTTTTTGTTTTTACACATTTTAACTTTTATTGGCATGTATTCATGAACAATGTAGTTCAGTGGTGTATATATATATATTTAAAATGGTTGTGCAATCATTACGATCAAGTTTTGATCATTTTCTTTTTTCCAAAACCTTTTTATTGAGAGACAACACAGGTATATTCTATAGTTCAGTCACATCCATCTGTACTGTACAATTGCTACCATGATCATTATTTCCTATGCCTTAAGAAACTGTGTTCATCGACTCCCAACTCATAAAGGTGGTGTTCTTTCATTTGTTTCCTTGAACATTTTCTGTGTGATTTCAGCTCTTATGTTTTGGTCTGTGATTCATCTCAATTTAGATGATAGGAGGTTGGGGTTAAGGATGTTCTCCCACCCACAAGGCTATCTAGCTGTTACAGCCCCTTTATGGAAAAGAACTTGTCCTGCGGCTGGCTGTAGTGCTCTGGGGAAAATGCGCGGCTGTGTTTCTGGGCACTCTCTCCCGGCCGTTCACTCTTGGATCCTAAGGCAGTCCCGTACTGTCGCAGTGGCCTTGATGTCAGGTATATGTGGCTCTTTAGTTTTGGTGTTCAAGTGTGTGCTTGGTCCCCAGCATTTTGCTGTTTAACACTCCACCCCTGATGATTTGGCCAACCTTTTCTTTTTGTTGTGAACTATAATAAAAAGTTTGTCATTTGAGCTAATTTTTAAAAATACTTTGTTTTTGCTGAGAATACACACAGATCATTAGAACACCCATTCAAACACTTCAGCATAACCATTCAGTGATGGTACATTCTTACTGCCCCATAAACCGCTCATATTTGCTTTAGAATTACTGGTGTGAATCTGATCCCCTAGCTGTTTTTTTTTTACTTTCAGTCTTAATAAGAGTCCAGTGGCCAAGGCTAACATTTTGCATTAGTTCATCTATGTTTTAGTTTGGAACGGACTTTTGGAAATTGTTTTCATTTCAAGGTTCAGAAATTTTCTTGGCAACAGATTCACAGGTTCCTCTAGTCTCAGACAGTCTAGTAAGTATGAATTCTAAACAAAATCTGAAGTTCTGTTCCACAGCCTCCTTAACAACAGACCCCCCACCCACCCTTACCGGCACTCATCTGTTGAGTCCCTCAGGAAAACATCCCGTGAAGGTAGCGGGACACCGTCTAGGTCTTTACGCAAAGGAGGCCTGGTGCGTGGAGACCCTGGGTCTCTTCCCCTGCAGCCACTGTCCCGTGTTCTTCGGTGACCTTGACGTGCTGCCATCCACCAAACTCCGTTCTTCAACAACACGAGGGGGCTTCAGGGAGCCCAGTGATCTTGCATCCCATTGTTGCACACACTTCAGTGGGAGTGTGTGTCATCCTCATGTTCCCAGTGATCTCCGCTTTTGACCATGTCTCCTGGCACTGGCCACAGGGCCTGCCCCTGGCCTGCTTCTTCCGCACACATGCTGCATTTACATTTCCTTTTCTTTCTTTCTTTTTTTCATTTCCTTTTCTAGAATGCTCTTCCTTCCCCATATATCTGCATGACTAGCTGTCTTTCTTCAGTTCGAAGTTTAAGCAGTTCCAAAATGTAAGCTGCCGCTACCATTACCACAGCACAACCTCTTCTCCTAAATCCCTTGCTGGTTTATTTATCCTGCCAGAGAGGATCCGGAGGTGTGACATCCCCGTGGGGAACTTGAGGGCATTTCAAACTAAATAGTCTCTAGTTTCTCCTTAAGCACAATGGCTTGCTCTGTTACGCCCCCCCCCCCCCTTTTGTCCCGTCTTCCTCTTGTAGCACCTTCTTCGCTTTCCCTTCACCAAAAGTAACTCCTTCCCTCCCACCCCTGGTAACCAGGCAGCCACCAAACCACCTTTTCTGGATTTTTTTTTTCTTTACAATTTAAACAAAATGTGTTCACTTGTCTTTAATTTCACTGAGCATAATGTCTTCTAAGTCCACCCATTTCAGTTTCAGCGTCATTCCTTAGTGATGCGTAATAGTCCATTGTGTGCATGTGCTCAAATCTGTGTATCCAAGCCATCTCTTCTTGCCAGTGTGAGTAATGCTGCAGTGGGCATGGGTGTGCACACATCAGTCTTTGCTGTGCTTTTTATTTCTGTAGGGTATTTACCCAGTAGCCCTATTGCTGAGTCACGTGGGACTTGTATTCCCAATTATTTGAGGATTCGCCATATCACTTCCCACAGGAGTTATGCTGTTTTAGCATCCACCGGCAGGCTGAGCGGGTCCCCGTCTCCACACCCTGTCCAGCATTTGTTGTTTCCTGCCAGTTTGAATGTTGCTGTCAAACCTGGGGTTAGGGGGTATTTCGTCTTTGTCGTCGTTTTGATTTGCGTCTTCTCTGGGATGGCTAGGGCTCTGGAGCATGTCTTCACATTAAACACCGTCTCACCGGGAGTTGTCTGCTTCCCTCTGCCCCAGAGTGTCGCCTACGGCTAAGCACCTAGAAGCTACTCATTGTGTGTTTGTTGAGTAAATGTATGGCCTGCCTGGTGGCTGCTGCCTCGAACCACTTTACCCTCCTGCCCTCAGATCCTGTACAACCGCACCATGGTGCAGCTGGGCATCTGTGCCTTCCGCCAAGGCCTGACCAAGGATGCACACAATGCCCTGTTGGACATCCAGTCAAGTGGCCGTGCCAAGGAGCTTCTGGGCCAGGGTCTGCTGCTGCGCAGCCTGCAGGAGCGCAACCAGGAGCAGGAGAAGGTGGAGCGGCGCCGACAGGTGCCCTTCCACTTGCACATCAACCTGGAACTGCTGGAATGTGTCTACCTGGTGTCAGCCATGCTCCTGGAGATCCCCTACATGGCTGCTCACGAGAGCGACGCCCGCCGACGCATGATCAGCAAGCAGTTCCACCACCAGCTGCGCGTGGGCGAGCGGCAGCCCCCGCTGGGTGGGGGGGGGCTCCGCAGGGCGGCCACTGGGTTCCTTGTTTCTTGATTACTCGTTATTACCAAGGAATTACAGGGAATAATCTTGTCACTAACTGACTGAATTCATGTATCACTTGCCATGTTCAAGGGGCCTGCAAAACATTGTGGGGAAAATTCCGTCATCGTTTCATTTGATCTTCTTGGGGACTTTTTGAAGTGCCCTCGTGTAACCTGAAGGAACCTGTGTGTTCTCCTGGAGTGCTCTGTCCTCTGCACTGAGCTCACTGCTCGCACTCCCCTCTGTTCGTCCCTTCATACGTGTGATGCCACCCACACGTCTCCTGAGCACCTTTGGGTTTTTATTGCTTGACTCCTTGGTCGTTTAAGTACTCTGACCTGCACCCTCACTTGTTTGGTTTGTGAAGGGGATGAACTAGTCCACAATGGGTTATATGCATTTGCTCACCCCTAGTCTAAGCTACACATTTCTCTTTTGGCCTGATCTCTGCATTGCACTTGTACTGCTATCTCTGTTCTGAAGTCTGCCTCCTGGTTCCTTCTTACTGTCCATGTGCCCTGTATTTCCAGTCTTCCAGCATTTGCACTTTACTGCACGGGCAGTTTCCGAGATTCACATACCGCCCGTTGTTACACACCAACCCCCCTAAAGGCTTAGGTTAAAAATTCTGGAAATGTGGTTGGTAATAACACAGTGCTATTTTGTGACTCATGTCAAAACATCATTATTACTGTATTAGCAAAGATGCCTTATGTATTGCAGTGTTTGTTCAGTAGTTTTTAAACATAATAAGGTACGCTTTCTTTGCATACAAAAATTAACATCTGACTAGCCGGCATTGGCTACGAACTGTTCCCCGACTTCTGTTTACTGCAGTATTGTGGCTAAAGCACCCAGATTTTTTGCCAGCTTGGCAGCTATTTAAGAATTCCTGCTGAGACTGTACACAAAACTTTCATAGGTGTTTTGGTGTTGCCCAGGGTTAGCTGATGCTCTCCACGCACCCCTACTGACCGGATCCCTCATCCCAGGTGTCCTGCCCCCTTCTCAACCTTTCAGGCCCCCCCGAGTCCATGAGGGAGCATGTGGTTGCTGCTTCCAAAGCCATGAAGATGGGTGACTGGAAGACTTGCCACAGTTTTATCATCAACGAAAAGATGAATGGCAAAGTGTGGGACCTTTTCCCGGAGGCCGAGAAAGTCCGTACCATGCTAGTTAGGTGAGAAGAGAAGGGGGGGGCCTAGTAGGTGAGAGGAGGAAAAGACTGGCTGGTGTCCTTCCGCAATGCACTGCCTTGCTCTCTTCCCATAGGAAAATCCAGGAAGAGTCTCTTCGGACCTACCTCTTCACCTACAGCAGTGTCTATGACTCCATCAGGTAAGATGGGCCTTGGGAAGGAAGTAGAACCCCAGCTTTGTGGTAGAGGGTCCTGATTACCCCTGTCTCTGCCTTCTCCCCCCACCCTCCCAGCATGGAGACTCTGTCTGACATGTTTGAGCTGGACCTGCCCACTGTGCACTCCGTCATCAGCAAGATGATCATTAATGAGGAGCTGATGGTGAGGACCAAAGGCAGTGATGGGAACGTGGGTCCTGTAGAGAGTGAAATGAGGGGCTGTCTGATCCATTCCGTGCCTGTTCCCATCAGGCCTCCCTGGACCAGCCAACACAGACCGTGGTGATGCACCGCACGGAGCCCACGGCCCAGCAGAACCTGGCATTGCAGCTGGCTGAGAAACTGGGCAGCCTAGTAGAGAATAATGAGCGAGTGTTTGACCACAAGCAGGGTACCTATGGCGGCTACTTCCGAGGTGAGCGCTTGCATCCCCAGGTCCTGGCCCCCTTGTTTCCTTCCCATGGTACTGACCTCTGTACCCTTCCCCATTTTTCTCCTACAGATCAGAAGGATGGTTACCGCAAAAATGAGGGCTACATGCGGCGTGGTGGCTACCGCCAGCAGCAGTCTCAGACAGCCTACTAATCCCACCGTCGTGTCTGCGGCCCAGACCACTCGGCGTTCGAGTCCTAAACCATACCCAGTCATTAAAGTCCACTGAGCGGTGTTGCACTTTCTAATGATTTGCATTGCACCACAGGGGTATATTAGACTCATTGATTTGCGTAGCTTCTAGCACATGACCTGCAGGTGACTTGGGATGAATCCTACTACCCTGTGGAATCCTGGCTTTTCCTACCAGAGGACTGGGAAATGTGCCCCTGTGGAACCTGAAGGTACTTGTAAGAGCCCCAGAGATGAAAGAGCCGGAAAGTGGCTGCCCTTAATTCTGCAAGAGCTAGAGCAAGTGCTCGGGTACCTGCTGCTTCCCGTGGGGGGAGGGGAACAAACCGTGTCGGATGGAGCCACTGCTCACCGAAGGCGAGGGGAAACTTGAGGTCTGAGTCTTGGGCTAATTGCCTAGCTAAACAAGCCAAGATGTCCAGGAGTTTCACAGACTGCTCAAATCGTTTTGGGCAGTTCTCAAGGGGACAGTGCGTTGCTATGCCAGGTCTGATGGAAGACTCCAGGAACCGCTGTTGCACAGTGCTCCAGAAGAACGTGTGTACGCCTGAGTGCGGGGGTGGGGTGGGGTGATTCAATATGGTAGAGGGGCACACACGCTCTCCAAACCTCTAAGAAACCAAGTGAAATCGCAAAGGATGAAGCAATAGATGAAATACTGATGAGACGCAGCAGCCAATGGAAATGGCACGCTGCACACAAGGATGACCTGCCCCCTCAGTCCCCACTGGTCACTTCACTCCCCAACGGATGGAAGCCCGCTATTTCCTCTGCCCTTTTTTCCTTCTGCCTCCCCTCCTTTTTTTTTTTTTTGCATTTCAGGAGCCAGCAAGCCACTCTACCCAGCCATACACAGCACACCTTCCATCCCACCCTCCAGTGTCACCACCCACTCCACAGGAATGATGGCATTTCCAGCATAAACCTAGCCAGCCCTCAGCTGCTCCACGCTCTAACCCATTAACGTGATGCCCACCCCATACTGTCTTGACTAGTGACGAGAATAGCATGCCCACTGCCTGGATATAGTAAAACAACAGGGTGGACCACCCGGCATTAAAACAAATGGAGTAACCACAGTGTCTCGGAGACAGCACACAATCCCTAAACACACACAAGGTGACTCAAGTCACCAGAAAATCTAGAGGAGGAAATAGTGTTGGGATTACCTGATAAAATCAAATGAGTTAGATTTAGGATACTAGAGCGTCGACAAGAAAAGCAAGCGGGGTAGGGGTGGGGAGCAGAGAATGACACCGAGGAAAAAAGAGCTGTAGAATTCAAGAAACCCGCACAAGAGAAAAATGGACTCTATAGGAACCACAAAGATTTGAGGCGGGGGATAGAACCAATTGGGGTTTTGGCAACATGACGATAAAATCAATGTGCAGAAATTAGGATTCTTGTATATTAAAGGAACCCAGAAAACTTACAGTTTCCCAAAGGTGATGTACTAGGAAGAAACCTAGTTAACAGTAACAAAAGACTTGTGTAAAGAAACAACACAAGAAAGCAAAAATTACACAATTCAAAAGATGCATACATACCTCAATTCATCTAGCAGAAACCACTTCAATTTTTGCAAGAAGTTGGACGGGGCAGGGATTACACGTTCAGAAATTTCATAATTATGAGTTGTGACTACAGTAACAAAGCATCTATACCTTTTTAAAATACTGAAGTGCTTGTTCTGGTGGCACATACACTAAAACTGGAACGATAGAAGATAAGCTTGGCCCCTGCACAAGGATGACGTAAATTCGTGAAGCCTTCCATATTTAAAAGTACATATATTTGCTGAAGGAACATATTCTAAGTGTCCTGCCCAAGAGAAAATACTCGGGAATGTATAGTTCTGTGTGAGAGATCATTTGCCAAAGGACACCAGCTTGTAAACATCTAGTTGTGAAAACTAACATGTTTAAATAAGTGATGGCATGCATTTATCACCATGGGGAAAAAAAAGACAAATGGAAGAATGTTTCCTGCTGATGGAAGATAGGATGACAATATAGTGAAAGCATCAGTATCACTGATGACAATGTAGAACTACAGTGCAGTCTGGTCCAGCACAATTCTTGTTTAAAAACAGCGGGAACTAGTCACTTGTATGTGGAAAGGTAAGAAACCCAGGATAAGCAAAACCGTCCTGTAAAAAAAGGTGGGAAGCTGCTCACCCTCATTTCAAAACCTGTTTCACAGCTTGGTATTGATACCATAATAGGCCAAAAGATCAGGTCAGAACTCCAAACTACAGACCTGATTATTAAGACCAAATTAAATGGGGGGAGAGTTCAACAAAGATAGCACTCAGGTAGCCAACCAGTATATGAAGAAATGCTCTTAATCATTGGCTATCAAAGAAATACAAATTATGCAGCTAAGAGATACCACCTCACAATGGCACTGAGCACAATTTTTTTAAATAATGCTGGAGAGGATGAGGGGAGATTAGAACACTCATACACTGCTGGTGGGATTGCAGAATTGTATAGGTACTATGGAAAACAGGTGCATCCTTAACCTCACACGTGGCTATATACTCAAAGGACATAAACACAGCAGGTAAGTGCACACCCATGTTGATCGCAGTGCTGTCTACAAGAGGGAGCACCAGAGTGAGTGTCCGTGGAAGGAGGCTAAGTCAACGCGGGGGCATGCATACAACGGAATAGTGGGCATCTGAAAAACTGATGAAACTCGGGCCCCTCATGACATGGACACATTTGGAAGGCATTAAAGCTCAGCAAAGTTAGCCAATCTCATAAACCCTGCTGGAGAACACTAAAACGAAAAAAAACAAAACACTTCATTCCAAAAGAAGCAGACGTTGAAAGCTAGAGGGAAAAGAAAGATCACTCTAAAAGGTTCTGAATAAAAAACGGGAGGGGGGGAGTGAGTAGGAGGACACATGAAACCCCAGACCAGGATGGAACTCCGTGACAGGAAACGCGATACCGAAATCAATGGAAACAACGCCCTTATGCTGTTGGCACTGTTACATGAGCCCACGTGAAGGACGCTTGGCGCAGTGGGATGCCCAGCAGTCACTCCGGGGAGAACCGCGTGGTCTCAACCATGGGCAGCATCAGAAACCCCGAGAACCAGTTTCTTCTACAGGCGCGGAGCAACCTGACCACTATTAGGTTTGGATTCGGTGTCTATTAATTACCTGTGTAATTAAAACCAGGGATAGAAAAAGCTAAAGTGGACAGTGAACGCACCCAGCCGGGATTCCACCCGTGACCTTCACTGCAGGGGAAGCCGCCTGCCCTGGGCCGGCCTCCGGGGCTTGTCCGGAAGGTTGCGGGGAGCAGAGCCCAAACCTCCAGGTTGAGCCCCTCCCCCCAGCCCGGGATCCCTGGTGGAGGCCCACGCAGGGGTGGTGGGCGAAAGGGTGCGCTCACCTGGGGGGCCAAGGGCCTTATGGAAAGAGGAGGAGCTAAGGACAGATCCAGGGGAATCCCTCTGACCTGGCAGGAGGTGGGGGGACAAGTGAGTGCTGTGTTTTGACAAAGCACCCTGCTTTGGGAAGGGGTACATACCTCGCAGTCCCACGGAAGAAAGGGCAGGCGAGCCATGAAGACCCGCTGGGAAAGCTCTCCCCGTAGCACAGGAGGAACGTTATTTTTCAAAAACCAGACCTCGTAAATGGCTCGGGTGTGATCCCGCCAGTGACCAGCAGAGGGCCGCTCCACCTGGGGAATCGATAAGGGGCGGGGGGAGGCGACACCCAGGAAAGCAGACAAAAACAAGGGAAAAGACAAAGCTCTAAAATCATCCAGGAAAATACTACAAGAACAAATTGCCCGCGTGGAAACCTCCAAAGATTTGGACCAGGAAGCCGACCCGTCACTGTCTTACAGTCT